GTCTTTAGGTAGAATAGAAATTGGTGATCGAAGTTTGGATGGTCCAGATTGAACATTTACCTGCGGTACAAATAAAGACTTTTCCTCAAAAAATATCTGTGTGAATTGAGCATGGATTTTTTCCCATTCGTTCATAAGATCATCAAGCCATGCAGTACTTAAACCACTCTTTAGTATACTTCGACGTAATAACTCTTCACCAACCAGCCTATCCCGATCTGTTAGAAATTTGTGATATTTTCTAGTATCTTCATTCCTTTCTATTCCACCACGATAGAAGCGTATATCTCTTTCCAAGTCAGCGGGAAAACAACCCATAGCCCATCTATTTTTCTCAGCCTCAGTAATGACCGAAAATTTCTCGGGATCCATTCCATGTTCGATGGCATATTGGCGTAAGCTGGCCTCTGGCTGATAAAGACAGGTTTTGTTTAGTACACTTACTTGAATTTCCGGTAAGCTTTGTTTAGCGATTATAACTTTCTTTTGATCATTACGAAAAGGGCAATTAAGAAAATAGTAATCATTTTTACCGAGACAACTCCAGTCGCCCCATATACCTCGATGTGTATGTACCTCTTTACATATCGGACATTTAGCTTCTAGATCTGTATATTTAAAAACATCTCGGTACCATGCATTCGATTTAGTATATGACAAGAAAGGGAAACGTTTATGTACTGCTTCATGGATTGTGCTTTTTTCTTCTGGAAACTTAGAAATTTTGATAATGCAATCCTGTGAAAGGTAATTATCAGTCTTTTTGATTTGTAGGGGTTCGAGAGTTTCAGACATCCTCCAGGGATTGAGGCCAGTTTTTTTCTTATATATTTTATATAACTTGGAACGAAGTTTATCAGATATAGTGGTTGGTAAATCAGTTAATTTGGAATACCAATCCAGATATTCGGGGGTTAGTACCTTATCTTGTGTATCCATGTTGTCATTTATATAATTTCAAAGCAATTTAATTTCTCGCATTGAGTATTATGTACTAAAAAACATCCCTATTCACTCACAAGCTCATGCCCAGATTTGTGTAGTTAACTACTTCCCCAACGATTCATTTCACTTCATTCGTTCAGGTCGATTCAATGCCCGAAAACAGAAAAAAATTACATACATTATTATCTGATCTATTGACAACAAACATAGTGAGTTGACGGGATATATACACCCCACCGACAATGAGGGTAATGAATTGGTGGGATTTTATGTAGTTATTTGAATTTCGTGTTGCTCACATTTAATATAGTAAGTTTCATCTTTATATTCCCCTTTTATGCCTTCCTCATCATCATGGTCTAACTTGCATAAAGGGCATAATGTCTCATCAGTAATTCCGTAATAATCAATATTTTCATCATTAAA